AAAGAAGTGTTGTAATAAAACTGCGATATTTGTTATAAGGTAAAATCAAATATGTTATTATCAACATTTCTGACAAGTGATTAATACTGAATATTATATGAGCTTTTTTAAGTAGTATTACTTGATGAAAGATCTACATCGCATTGTAAAAGTAACTTTAGAAACCGAAGTGCAGGTGAGAATCACTGTTTTAAGACTTTCCAAAGAAAGGAACAAATCCATAAGTTGTTCTGATACTAACTGAATTATGGTTCCCAAAGAATGAATCATAAAAAAGTGTGCAAGGTCGTGCGGCCCTCGTATTATGAAGTCGCTCCACCACTCCTACGCACTTATAATTGGAGATTCTTTCGGGATAGAACTGAATTCTATAAATAGTAACGCTTTTTTGGTATCTTCTCCAGTTGCCCGAAGCGATCTCTTTTCTTCAGTCCTCGTCTTCCTCGAGAACGCTTCACGATTCTTCGAGAATCGAATATGGAACGAGAAATGTGTATCCAGCAAAAGACGAAACAGAATTACCGCAAATTTTTGTAAACTACTAATCTAATTTATCGTAAAACGATATAGATTAATCTTTGAATTTATACAAAAGATGCACATCAAAAGCTGATGTCAGTTTGTGATGTCAGTTTATTGCCTATTTATTGACAAACTCAGATACATCTCTCTTCTCGTCGTGAAAATAATTTTTAGATATATTTCAAAACACCTCGTGCTCCCTCGCGATCAATCGCGAAGCACCGCATGAGGATCACTGTCCTAGAGGTATCAAAATGGAGGAGCGAATATCGTCGAAGCCTTCGGGGCAGTATAGCTCCTCCGAGATCGTCTCGGTCCGAGGCTGTTCGCAAGCTAAAACCGAGAGTTCCGTACACATAGAAAAAAGGAGAGGAAGAGCGGCGCGGTGGGGTAAAGATGAAGGGGGGGGAGGTAGCGAGGCAGGAGCGAGGGAGAGGAGCCGGCCGGGAGGGAAAAAGACAGAGAAGAGATGTGAGCGAGGGAAGGAAAGAAGAGAGCCTTACATAGCGATTGCTGGCAGGGCCTGAAATAGACCTCGGCAAGAATCCCCCTGTGGCATCCTCCCCCTTGCTTCTCCCGTTCCAGTCGCTTTCCTCTCTTCTTCCTCTTGGTCGCGCGGCCGCCCGATGGTCGCCGCTGACCGCCGTTGGCCGTCGCTGGCCGCCGCGGCGTACCCCCGTCTTCGCTTTTGTTTTAGCAAAAAAGACCAAGTCCCTTGGCGCGGCTATGAAAAGTTGTTCCTAGCATCTCCCTCACGAAGCGGATCAGGCGCAAGGGGGAGGGAAGAAGAAGGAGAAGAAGGCGAAGAAGACGATGAAGAAGAAAACGAAGCGAGAGAGAGAGAGAAAAGTAAGGCGGTGAGGGAGAACGGAAGAAACGAAGAGACAACGACGGACGGCGATGACGCGATGGAGTAGTGGCCGCTGGAGGATCCGCGTTTGTTTATCCACCGCTTCTGCTTTCGTCTCTTATCCATCACCACATACGGAGAAAAGAACCCCGTAAGCACGTCGCCGGACCTAAGTGCACTCGAGCGGACGCGATGCATTTCCCACGGGAATACCACGATGAGAACTCAACCTGTTAAACTGACCTATACCAAGGTACCGGTGGAACGTGACTTGCGCCTTGGAGGTACACGGCATTCACGGTTGCGCTTAATATCCACAGAAATCTGAAGAAATTCCCCGAAGGCGAAATATATCCTATTTCTCTCGGGCGAGAGCGCCCGCGAGCGGTAGAAACCGATTAATTTTATTTGTAATGCTTCATCTTCGTATTAAAGGACGATGTATCACGGTAGGATGAATATGTACGAAAAGTGATAAATCTTGCCCGGACGTCGGGACCCGTCGTGGCCCGCGAGTAAAAAGACTCTCTTCCCCATTGATAAGATCCACATCGCGTCCTGTATCAAATGCAATTTTAACGAAGTAGTCGTGATGCGGCGACCGCGAAATGCCTCTCGAGCCGCGCGCCGTTCCGGCCGATTCATCTGCATTCTTGAATCGTGGTCGCCGCGAAGGAAACCGTCACGGCGTGCTATCCTGTCATTAAGCTCGCGGCACGGCATCCTTCCGTGCAAGAGCGGCAACAGGCGCAGCGAGAGAGAGAGAGAGATGGTTTCCGTGGTGCGGTAGGTCTTGGATGTCACGCGAGGTCCTTTTTGCTCACGATCGCCCGCACAGTACGCCGCGTACCAGAAATAACACGTTGCGGTATATCTGATCATTGATCCGGCGATTCTGCCACCGGGCAGAATATCTTCGTGAGAGAGATAATACCGTATACGGACGGCGATGAGGCGAGTGAAGAGGACGCGAGGGGGACGGACGGGAGACGCACCGCGCTTTCTGGGATACGCGCCAGTTTTCCTTTCGTACCGGTATTGTGTTCGTACGAACTGGGGGAGCCGATATTTGCTCGCGATATATATTCGCGAGAGCAGGTGGATCGATCTCTCGGATCGAACGACGAGAGCACATGGTCAGAAATGAAGCCTACCTTGAGACATAGGCTACCTTTTTGCGATTCGCATCATCGACATAAACCTCTGCGTACCGATACATTCGGTACCAGCGTGTACAGCTTCATTGCTTCGTCCAAGTATTTGTTCTATTAATAATTTACTCTTGAGAAGATATTTGTGCCAAAAAAAGTCTTGTCTCTTCCATGCTGATATATTCGCTCAAAGAAATGAAGGATCTTCATTCACGAGCAAATATATATTAAAAAAGTATATGTTAAATAGAAAAAAAAAAAAGATTAAAAATAGTTGGACCAGACAATGAAAAATAAAATGCAAGATATCGATAAATGTAAATAATACGCTTTCACATCAAGAATGATCAAGAACTTTAAATTTTTAAAAACCGATCATTCAGAATTTCTTCATCCTTTTCCTCGGGACAGGAAACATCCACGATAACGATGAAAGAAAATGTCAACCGAGAAAAGTATACTTGACGCGACTGTTCCGATAAAGTATCGGCGTCTCGCATTAAGATTGCGAAGTGGCTCAAGACTACGGCTTGGGAGAAACCGCGTTCTTCACTGACCGATGGATGAGATATCACCTGTACGCAAATGGAGCGCGCGCGAGACACAGGGAGGAATGCGATAACTTGTTAATACATTTCCGTCAGCAGAGGGAACGGGGGGTGACGCGCATTGCGATACAATCTCATGTCATTAATCACGCGAAAGCTTAATTGAGACGCGCCCGGTAGTCATCGCACGCGCCGCGGCGCGATATCCGCGATGCGTGCATACGTGCGTGCGGCCCGCTCGCGAACCTCGGTGATTCAGAATTCCATCAGATCCTGCGACGACGACGACGACGACGACGACGACGACGACGATGATGCGCCTCGAGAAAAGTCAAGCGCGCGAAGAGGCGAGCCGCGAGAGCGAGACGGCGTCAAGGGACGCGAGGAAAGCGTTGACCGGTTGAAACTCTCGAAGTAGAAAATCCATCGTCGTCTCCTTCACGATGGTATGCGTAATCTCTCGATCTCTCGAACGCGGTCCCTCTCACGCGACATTATTAGGTAGACCGATATTTCGGACGGGCGCTCGAACGAGACTTCGTCACGTAAGTATTAATGATCGAGTCCAGCGACCGGTCTGTTTGTCCGCACAAAACTCAGAGATCCAGGTATCCAGGTACTGATGTTCACGAATCGGCCTTTCGCAAATCGAAGGTATAATTTACAGATTTCCTTCTCGGAGGCAGGCGATTTGTTGCAATTAGCGTTGGATTTGAGCGTCACGATCGTGCGTGTCGTTTCGTTGACGAATAAAGTGAGGCGGATTTTTAGGGATATCGGGGATATCGGGATAGGATGCCTCCGAGGAGGCGTTCAGAAATGAAGTCTGCCTTGAAACCGGCGTCTTTTTGCTGTTCGCCATCGATACAAATCCACGGAGAACCGTGAAGATCGCGGCAAAGTAAAATTCCGTACTGCTAGCTAAAGAAGCGACGGCGTTACGACGAAGGAGGATTTACGGTGTCGAGAATACAAAGTAAGCAAGCGCGCGCACGCATATTGTTAATGGGATTAACATAAACGCTACGTTGATCGATATGGGGATAACGACGTTCTTGCTATTACTCGCCCTTCCATTATTTCACGTCCGCGCGGTACACCCGCTTGGATAAATGGATTATACCTCTTCACCGAGCAAACATTACTCAAACGACGACTTTGCTAGTTAATATAATTAACCCGACGTAATCACACGTTGTGAGTTAATTTATAATATATATAATCGCGCCAACGAGAGAATATGCGCATGTCTGACAAATGGCTGCTCGTCCGACAAGTGGAGCAGGCAATCGGTGCTTTGTTGCAAAAATATTATTTGCTTTAACGATCGATGATCGATCGAGTGATCGATCGATTGATTGACTTATTATCCGACGTGAAGATGCGTACGCTGTTCAGCGTGTTTCATGTAACAAAAATAAATTATTATT